AGCTGAGAGCAATGAGGTCCCTTGTATTAATAATTTGTATTATAATAGCATTGTCACTGCTGGCTCCCAGGCTTTTTTTATCCTTGAGTTAATGGCAGGGCTGCCTGTCAAAGGGAATTTTTGTTGGAAAAAACTTATTTTTGCTTTTGTTGTCTCTTTGCTCCCACAAAACTGTGTGTGACTGGCACCAGTAACTGCAGCTGGGAGGGGCTGGAGATAAGGGCAGGGGAACTGTTCAGCCGTGTTGTTGAATGTATTGACAGTTTAAATATGGTATTTGGTGAGGAAAGCAGATCCCGGGGGACTGACAGAGTTCCCCATCCCAGAATATCCCAGCTCACAGCAGGAACTGAAACTAAAGATGCCAAAACCTCCAGGCAGTGCAGGAATGGAGCTGCAGCTTCCCACATCCTGCTGCAGGCCTGGGATTTTTGGATGAAAGGGAAACCAAAAATGCTCTTCTGCTTCCTCAAACTGGATAATCACACAGATGATCAGAGCCTTGAGTAAAACATGGAACAAAGTGATTACTGCTCTCAAATAATAGATAAATTTATGTCTTTGTGTCTCCTATGGTCCTCAGAGCATCCTTTGGGCAGTGAGATGAAAAGGAGAGGAGTAGGATTCTGTTGTTTCCTTTACTTGGATGAGAAGCTGACAATCATTTGCTGACTTTTAATGCTCCATGTTGTATATACCTATCTGGTTGTTTTTAAACACAAGCTGAATAGAATTTGAAATTTTTAAAACTCTACAAGAGGAATTTTTAGCATCATGGGAAAATTCCATAATTCCTTCTCTTTGGAATGGAAAAAAAATATTCCAGTAGACATGGATTGGACCATGATCTGCTTGTAAATTCTTGGATGTTGGGCATAAAATTTAGCTGAAAATGAGCATCAGCATGAGGAGTAGTAGAGTGTATAAGGACAGGGAAACCTTGTCTGGTTCTGGCAGGAGACAGGAGAAGAGTTTGGCTGGAGGAGATCCAGAGAATTGTAAGGAGATTGACTGGAAATTTAGAAATCCGTGGTCTGAACAAACCTGAGCTGTTTGGCTCTGGATGGGAGAAGAGCAAGGCAGGAAATACATCTTCAGGTGCCTAAAAAGGAAGGGGTGGTTGCTCTCTTGTGTACACAGTGGGAAGAGCAAGAGGTCACAGTCCTAAAATTGTAGAGAAAAAAAAGTTCAGATTAAATATTGGGCAAAATTAGGGCAGTACTTTCCCTGAAAGTAACAAGAGGATTTGATGGGCTGAAGAGCTTGTGGAGCATCAGTTGTTGGAGGTTGAAATAGCTTGGAAATACCTTTCTGATATTTTTGATGGTCATTGTTGCATGAGGAAGATGCAGTTTATTCCCCTGCAGTGGGAGTTGTTTCACTGCTGTCCTGTGCTCCCTTCTCTCCTGGCCTGGAGTGGTGAGGCTGGAGAGGGTTGGTTTTGTTCTAAAATAAGCAAGAGATGAGAAATGATGTTCTGTGGCTTAAAATTCAGGCCTTTAAAAAATTGAAGTGACTAAACATGCATGCCTCCCTAGAAAAGCAGATGTTGCCTAGAAATATTTTATGCTCTTTGGTTCTGAAACTGAATGTTATGGACATTAAAATGTACAACTTGTCTCTCTCAGCAGTGAAGCTTTTCCAGGACAATGGTTCACTTGAGTTGGAAGAGACAGAGGGAGGAGTGAATGATGTTGCCTTTAGTACAGCTATTTCTCTTTAAAGAAATATCAGTGGAGTTCCCAGCTCTGTAAATACTGGGGAAATAGAAACATTCACTTTAGAGATCCCGAATGATAACTTGTCAGTCCTTTAATTGTACCTTGGGAATGGTAACTTTTTAAAATCAGTGTTCCAGAAGCAGCAGAGGCTGCAGGGCCAGACTGTCTCTGCTGGGCAGTGTCAGAAGGTCTCACATGTCTGAGAAGTTTCCTCCAGGTCCATGTGGACACTTCAGGAAAGAGGAAAGCTGGAGTCTTGCAAAGTGCCTTCACAGCTCAGCTATTTCCTAGTTCTGAGAGCAGCAGGAAAAGGTGAAGCATCCCTCAAAGCACCCCCTTTGGAGACTGATGGGCAGGGGAATTGTTTTTGTCTTTTTCTGTTCTTCCTCAGCCCAAGCTCTGTCAGGATAGAGGCAGGCTTGGGGCTGCTGTGTCTGCTTGTGTGAGTCTCAGGTTGAACCAGGCTTTGCTCTGCAAGGAGGCTTTATTCTGGGACAGCCTAGTTCCCTTTTCAGCCACATAAAAAAAAAATCCCAAAAGAGAGCAAGAAGATCTGTTTAGATCCCAAGAGAGCTAACAGCTGTCAAAAAAAAAAAATCTGAGGTGGGTTGTCAGGTCAAAAGAAAACAGAATAATCTCTATTTTTGAGCCTTTGCAGTGGTTTTAATTTTGAAATGTTGTGACCCTCAGTGGATCTCACACAGGGGTGCTGCTGGGGGGCTGGAGTTTCTCCCCTTTCATGAGCCCACTGGTCCAGCTGGCTCAGACATTGCAGTGTTAAACCTCCAGGTATAGTAAGATAGCTCAGTGTGTGTGTTGAATTTGCTTTTTGGGAAATATATTCTCCATTCTGGAACTGTTTGCAGATTTCGAGCTGCTCAGTCAAGCCTTGGGGAGCCGTAAGGACAGCAGTGGGATGGGAATGATGGCTGTGGTTCTGGCAGACACTGCAAATAACTGAGACAGAAGGACCTCAGTGTATCTTGGCTGTTGGATGCTGGGATTTTAATATCTGAAAGAAATTAGGGAAAAAAGCATGCCTTGGTTGTCCTTGTTGCTGTTCCAGTTTCAGTGATAAGCAGCTGAGCTGTTTGCATGTTCTGCTCCGAGGAAACCCCAGTCCCTGCCCCCTCGCCCCAGCTCTCTCTGTGTTATTCTTGAAGCAGCAATTCCAGGGAATTCAGGGAGGAGCTGCCAGGGAAATCGTGGCTCATGGTGCCAAATTTGCAGGGGCTTTACTCCATATTTCAGAACGAGGTTTTGGGAGACTCAGATTTATCTCTGCCTCCAGCTTCAGTTTCTATTTAAGCCACCTTTAATTTCTAGAATCGCAAAGCTGTTCTGACTGCTGTGATCGAGGTCACTCTTTAATTTGGGTACTCCAAGGAATGCAAAATCTTGTTTGTTAAAGTCTTAGGCATATGCTGAATCCCTAAAGGAGTGTGTGAAGGATATTAAATGTACCATGGCAGAGGGAGAGGAGCAGCACTGTTACAGGAGGAGAAATTGCAGATAAGCAGTGCTGTTATCACTCTGTTTGGGAGGTGCTGGGGTTGTGCAAGTCAATGTAGGACATTTACACAAATTGCTGGAATAAAAACCCACTCCATCAGCAGTCTAGTATTTGTTTCTTATTATATGTTAAATTTTTTCTGGCATAGCAAAGTTTGTCACCTGTTATGTCAAGGTCTCGGCATTCAGTGCTGGGATCTTTCCAAGTGTGCTGAAGCCTAATTGGTTAGGGGAAAGCCTTCCCTTCATTTTAGGGGAGGAAAAAAAGAAAAGCGAGGAAAAAAGAAAAAGCTGTGGCATCTAGCAGGCATTTAAAGCATTTTTTCTTGTTCTCTCAAGTCTTGTGATTTGCCAGACTTAGGCCTCCTGATTTTTTTTCTCCCTAGTTCTGGGCTTGCTTTGCTTTTCCTGTGAATTAAATTGGGAGAATAACATACAGCAAATAATGTATAACAAATAACATAGAGCAGCCAGTACTGCAGGTCTGAGGAAAGCTTTTTCCAAGCATGGTTCTGCAGCAGGGAGCGTTGGGACACCTGAGTACTTAGTGAGGGAAAACATTTGTGTCCTTCTACCCTTGTCCAACTGCTTTGCCTTCTTTTTTTATTGTTATTCTTCTTTCTCTTTAAATCCTGCTGAGTTTGGTCTGCAAAATTACAGCCAGAGTGGAAATTTCTTGTCTGCAGGATGTTGGATGGGTTTGGGGAGCCCTTTCCTGAGTTGTAATGCATCTGTGCCAGTTATTTGGTGAGATCTCTCTGTGCCACTTACTTTCTTAATCCAAGAAACTCAACAGCTGTGTGCAAAGCATGTGGTCAGCAGGATCCAACCTGAGAAGCAGAGCAGTGAGGCTCTGGCAGGGAACTTTAGGGACTGGATCTGGCTGAAGCACAGGGACACTTGACAGAATCACAGAATGGTTTGGGTTGGAAGGGTCCTTAAAGATCACATAGTTCCAGCCTTCCTGCCATTGGGCATGGGGCACTTGGGACATGCTGCTGGGAGGAGAGGACCTGCCACTGCTCATTCAGGAGCAACAAACAAGTTTAAATTTTCCTTTACTAGGGCAATCACAGCCTAATTTTCCTGGGTTTTATCATTGTTACAAGCTCTGGTTCACCTTTTTCCGGGTGACTCTGTTTTTCAATATGCTGTTTTCTCCCCTGGTCTGAACTTAATCCCAGAAACCTACTCAGCTGGTTATCTCTTTAGACAGTAAAGTTTAGAAATTTGGAAATATGTGAAGGTGGCTCTGCTGCTTCTCCAGCAGTAAAGGAGTAGGGATTGAATGGCAGTGGGGGGAAATGAAGGGGAGAAAAGAAGGCCACAGCTCTGAGCAGAGCTGCATGTTATATTTAGCTGCTGCTGTGGCAGTGGCAGTCAGGGTGCTGTGGCTGCTGCTCTAAATATGTTCTGGCCAGTTGAGGTTTCCAGCCCTGTAATGGACCAAGTCCACAGGGAGCTGGGCAGCAGTGTCACTGGTTTCCAGCACACTGCAGCTGGGGGATTGCTTTCACTGGGTTGAGAGCCTGGTGATTAATTCAGCAAACTTCTCATAAATAATGTCTTTACTAATTGAGAGGAGGGGGGGAAACCCCCAAGATGAGTGTTTGGGGTTTTTCAGTGGGGATTTACTGTGGGAGCATGGCAGAGTGGGCACCTCAGACTGATCAGTGTTTTATTTTTGCTTTTAGCCTTTACTAACCAAGGGCTGCCTTCTCCTTCAGGGTGCAGCAGTAATTTTTGGTGTAATGTCTTCTCTTCCAGCCCTGAATCCTGGTCCTACTGAGGCAACTGCAGGCACTTTAAAGATGTGGGTGAGCACAGAGAGGGGGCAGGAGAACGACAGGCTCAGGACGTGGTCCCCCGTGCAGGTAGGACACTGCTGTCACCTCGGCCACTCGGTGTGATGTGGATCTTTCTGTCCTGTGCAGCCTGGACAGGGAAACGTGGTGTATTCCAGTGTATGGCAGAGATCTCTGTGCAGGCTGTTGGAGCCTGATGGCTGAAGGAAGTGATCATGCAGTGATTGGCTCCATTGCCTTGAGAACAGGGGTTACTCTGTGGTCAAATCAAGTTTGGCTTATGCTTCCAGGTGTCCCTGAGAAGGGGACAGTTTTTATTTTCTTTGCTTGAACAAAACCGAGTTCAGGCAGCCTGTGTGTTTATACTTTTCTCCTGGCTGGCTCCCCTATCTGTGTGCTAGTTGCTGATTTACTTTATTTCCATATAACTTAATAAATATCCATCTGTCCCATGGTGTGGATGAGGGGTCAGGAGAGCGATGCTTTTTCCTTTTGGCTTCTGTGGATGGAAGAAGTGTGCTTGGAAATAGCACTCCAGTTTTCCATTACACCGTTCCAGGCTTTTGAAGAAGAAATTGGGTCTCATAGCAGAGCCAAGCTATTTTATTTGTACAAAAAGTAAGCTCCATGGTTGAACATTAGTGAGCAGACTGGTGGGGAATTTGTTCACCCAATTCATGGCTGTGTGATAAATGAGTATCCCTGTGGAAATGGGGATTTTCAAACCCTAGAGTGGTTCCTACCCAGCTTGTGCTGCATCTGGAGACTGCTTGTTTCTAGCCTTCATTAAATAATCAGTGTTGGGAGAACAGTGACTGGACTGATGCTGCTTGCTGCAGCTTTCCTGACACACTTCCAGTTCTGCAGCCTCTTAAACTGGTAGGAATAAACTAAGGCACCCTGCTGAAGCATGTGATGTGCTGGGATCCACGTGTACCCTCAGCCCCCTGAGAGCTGTCCTCCTTGAAGTTCCCTCCATTAATTGCATCTAGGTGGGTCCTCAATATCTTATGGCACTAATTGTGCAAATGCAGTGAACATTGGTTGTCTGGCTATTATAAACAGAGAATTTTGCAGGAGGAAGAGGGTGAAGCTTTTGTAGCTTTGCTCTGCCTTTGTAAACAGGGTTGATCTCTTAGGAGAGAAAGCAGGGAGAAGGGCATTAAATTTTATATCCCTTGATATCTGCCACTGAAAGAGAGCAATAAGGGGTGTGGATGGTTCATGTGGAAGGTGTCTGAGTAAATAAGAAGGATTACTTTGTGTTCCATCTGCAGAAAAATACATTGTTCATTACTGAAGGGCCAGCACCCAGAGGTGGATTGTAGCAGTGTGCCATCCTCCCTGCAAGCTCGTGGTCCTGTGTTGGCCCACGAAAGCTTTTCAGTATCTTTTCAGGGAGCTTTAAGAACAAATGGAGGATCTTTGCTGTAGAATTGGACCCTTTCTCTCTGTTCCTCCTTTTCCCCCACCCTCCTGTGTTGTCTTATCCCTCCCATTTCATTTGTTTTTAAAACGATTTTGCCATTGTGTGCATCAATACGTGCATGGCCTGTCTTGTTTTTCTCTTGGCCTGAAAGTGCAAAGCAAATCTGTTTATGGTTTTGGTGAGCTAATTCTTCCCCACCCTCGATTTTTAAATAGACTCTTTCTTTACCAAGCCTGCAAAGCTTGCAGGATGTATTGAAGTAATGGGAAAAATATGTTGTGTGTTAACCTTCCTTTTTTTGTAAAACTTTATTTACAAGACCCTATTCCTGGCAGTGCATCTGGGAAGTGATTATCTGGCTGCTGGAGAAATTAGAAGACTTTGAAATAGCAAAATGGGCGTTTAATGCATTCGGGGAGGAAATGTTTTGTGTTTTCCATATTCAGCGCTTGAATTGTGAAGCAGAGTCTAGTGAGTTGTGCTCAGTTGTCCCTTTAATTATTTATCTTCTCCTGAAAATCCCAGTTTCTATGCTTGGCTGTTCCCTGGGCTGTCTGTTACCTTCAAACAGGCTCCTCCAAGGCAGCTGCTGACCCAGACCTTGCAGTTGAAGGTAAGAGCAGCAAGGAATGCTCTTTGCCTGTAAATAGTGCCTTGGATTAAGGGCTTGGTATGTCACTGGTGTGTTGGAAATGTTATTTTTGCCTCTTGATTTCATCCTTCCTGCGAATCCATCTCAGACCTGTCTGTTTAGGTTAACAATCTTCTCTGCATCCTTGTGGGGGTTGCAGAGCTCTGTGTGCAGAGTTTTCACCGGGGTGTTTTGGCTGCTGGAGGCAGAGCTCAGCTGGAGAAGCCCCAGGGACACTCCTGTCCATGATGCCTGGCTGCTGCCTTGCTTCCCAGCCCTTGTGCTGGCTCTCTCCTGTAGCCTGCCCTGCCACAGCACCTCCTCACCTCCAGCCTGGCTGTGAGTTATTTCTAGTGAAAACCGTGAGCTGCTTGTGGCTGGCCATGGGGCAGGAGCTCTCTATGCAGATGTGGGGCTTTGTGCAGCCTGCTGTAGGGTTGCTGTCCCTGCCCATGGCAGCAGGGCTGGACTAAGATCATCTTTAAGGTCCCTTCCAATGTAAACCATTCTGTGATTCTATGGCCATTACATGTGCAACTGCACTTCTCCAGCCCCAGCTCTGTAGGGCTTGGCTGAGGCCTCTGGGTGCTCCTGTAACATAAATAAGCAGGAGTAGGATTTCAAAGCAAGCAAATTTTTGACATAGTTGATGTCACGCCTCTTCAGCCCTGTGTTTAGGGCCCAAGGATCTGCAGGCCCACAGCTGCTAGTTTGGTCTTGTTGCTAATAACCCTCTGGAGGTGTTTCTGCTGAGCTGGTTCTTGCAGAAGGCCGAGGGGTTCACCCTGATCTGACAGCGTTGGGAAAGACAGGACCTGTGGTGGGAGAAATATGAGGTGCCTTCACAAAACTGGGTGCCCTGTGTGAAGCTGCAGCCCTGGACGTGCTCCTCGCTGGGGTTTATGGTGTGGAGTGACAGCAAGGACTTGTGGTGAGTAGCCTTAAAGCAGAAAGGGATGGGGCAGGGTTATCCCACTCATACAGCCTTTCCACCTGGAGCCTCTGCTCTGCCAGTGAAGAACAGATGGGGAAAAGAGATTTCATTTCCTCACCCTGAGAGGTAAATTTTTCACAAGAGTTTCGTTCACCTGCAAATCTGCAGCAGAGCTCAAAGCAAAGAATTCTCCACACAGAGGCTTTGCAAAATAAGATTGTCCTTTATTCGTGTAACTTGGTAGCACATGGGGTTTCTTTCTGTAACAGAGTCTTAGAAGAGGTGAAATTCTCTCTTTTTTTCCTTTTCTCTCTTTCTGTTAAGCTGGTGGTGTTGCTGCTCCCTAGGAAGGTAATAGCTGGGAGCTGGCACTGACCAGTGCCCCTCAGTTCCCAGGCAGGGGCTGTAGCCCTGAGCATGGAGCTGTGAAGCCTCTCTTACCTGCCCTTTTCCTATCTCCCCAATCAGTATGTGTAACTGTAAAGATTCCCAACTTGCAGAGCAGATGGAGTTTTCCAGATGCCCTTGTATCCTTTTCCTTCATTCCTTCCTTCCTACTCTTACTTCTTACTGACCTAATTGCTCAGGACATGTATACAATATCAGTGTGACAAATTAAATTGCTTTTACTCAGAAAGATGAGGCCACTGGATGCCTAAATGCTGCATAAACTTTTGGCTAGCCCCACACTAACAGTTTTGACTCCTGCCCCTCACATTGCACTTTGGGAAAGGCAAATTCCATCCTGCATGTCCCTTTCCAAACCTATTGCCCAACACTTCCACTATTTGTCATCAGCTGGAAAGGATCTGAGCACTGCAGATATCCACAGATGTGGTTTGATTGTCTGTTGTGTTACAAACCACATCTGTGATTTGCTGCTCCTCTTTGCAGGCTTCTCCCCGTGCTGGGGTTTGGGATGTGCAGTGGTGCTGCAGTGGCTCTGCTGTTCCTCTGGAGCAGCCCCAGGAAGGCACTGGGCTCCAAGAGCAGCCAGGTTGGATGTTCTGGAGATGCCTTCAACCAGCCCTGTCTGGCAGGGGTGCCCTGAGGCTGGGGAAGGCTCCAGTGGAGGCTGTGTCCAGTCTCTCTGCATGGACTGGGGTATGCTTGAACAGGTTTTCTTTATGAAGGAAAGGAACTGTGCCTGTGGCCTGTGGAAGTCTGGATAAAGTCCATTCTTTTGTTTTGTACCAACACAAACTGGTGGCACGTCAGGTTCAAGGAGAGGCTGCTGCAAAGGGAGAGGCTTTGGCTCTGAGCTAAGGCTGCAATATTCTGTGTCATCAGAGGTATTTGTGAAAAAAGATGCAGATTCAAGGTGAAATAGTGAATTCTTACTCACCACCTTCAAACTGTGGACTGGAGGCCACTCTTCAAAACAAAATGATTCACTGGGAAGAAAAACAGCTTCTTATTTCCCAGCTTGATCTGGAGCTTTGTAATCACTTTGGTGGTTCAACTGTCTGCAGTGCTCAGGAGTTGTCTGTTCCAGCACACTGAGCATGCTGCAAGTTCTATTTTATTTCCAAAACAGCTCTTTTAGCATGTTGGCCTGTAAGGGAAACTCATAATAATTCCCTCTGTCAGTATAATTCAGTGGCAGTGCAAAATAGGAGGGTGTCTGACTAAAGGTGAGCCATTAAAGGGTGATTTCTGATAAATAACAAGACTGGGGACTCACAAGTCCTGAGTCCAATTACTGACTTTGCTGTAAGCTTCCTGTGACCTTGGGCGAGTTATTTAAAATTGCTTTGTGCCTCATTTCCCTTTCTGTAACACACTGGTGACAGCATTTCCCTTCCAGCCAGGAGCTGTGTCAGTGGGAAGGTGTCTGCACCCTTTTCCACAGCTGCTGTGTGAAGAACCTGGATGGATTAGGAAGCATGACCATCTCAGGGACCTCTCTCCTGTAGTCCTGGGGAAAACAGAACAGGGTGATCAATTTAAAGGGTTTTATAGGTACCCAGAGAATATGTTCCATTAGGTCCTGGGGCTTCTGGCACAACTGCACTAGCAAGGTGGTTATTTTTATTTTACAGCTCTCCTTGAGCTGTAAAGTCTTCCTTAGCACT